GTTATATCGCTCTCTTCAAAGCCAGACTCCACTGAGAAAAACAATGATTTAACATCACTGAACACAGGAGCTGCTGGTCTACCGCTGCTTGGGTGTGTGGACTTTGGTGTTCAAGGCGATTAGTTCAGATTTGCCAAAGTCTCACAATGACACAAACTAATTGATCAAGGAATTGGTAGACCAGCAGCTACTGTGTTCAGCGAGCCAAAATTACTGCTTTTGACCACGGATTCTGTTGGCTTTGAAGAGAGCGTAGATCAGGAGGTGAATCCGTTAATGGCGTCACCATTGGAACAGGCTGAAAGGTAAAGTGGTGAAAATACTCGCAGTATAGCATACACTCGTCGGTGGAGATTCTCAGTCATCCAGGTCATGGTAATCGTAAGTGCTATATCGTAGGCAACGCAAGCAAGTCCAGTTGCCTACGATATAGCACTTATGAATTGCACACACTCGAACTGTTGTAGATTTTTTTAAGTTGGACATTTGCTAGGTGGTTAAAAATATGTTCTGGGGACATGCAAACCACCATCCTCTGTAGGTAATGCACTGACTGTTGATAAGTGCCTCATACAAGCCTTCTTCAAGAAGTCAGAACTATTCTTTTAAATGGTCTGAAGCTGGTAAATGTTTTGTATTAGCCAAGCAAGTGGACTGGATCCAGGGATGGCAATGTTGGTGTATTGGTTGGTCTGCAGTTTTGATCCAGACTGAAATCTCAACAAACCAATCAGAAGGTCAATGGTCAATCCGTTGGCCGATATCTGATCCCTGCAGTGTACATGTTGGAAGTGTCCTTGGACAACCCTGTGTGAGTTTGTGTGAATAATTAAATGAGTAGCAGGTGGCACCTTGTTTGGTAGCCTCGGCCACCAGTGTGTGGATGTGTGTGTGGATGTGTGTGTGAATGTGTGGTGCCTGGAGCATAAAGCACTTTGAGTGGTTGCTATGACCAGAAAAGTGCTATATTTAACTTTGTGTATACAGAAATTCATGTTCCTGTCAGGATGAATTGGTGAGCATACTGATGTTCTTAAAGCACAGCTGTTCCTAAAGTAAAGCCTCACAGAGCTGCTGGTATGGCTGTAGCCTCGTTACATTATATACAGGAGTAAAACAAACCCATAGTCTCAGATCATGTGGATGCCACTTGACACACACCACCCACTCAAACACTGTTGTAGACCAAGTTACTCCCATCATTGCAGTAGCACTCCTTGATGACTCCTCAACCCCACCAGAATATGACAGAGAGTTCAAGGCATCAACCTGGCCTCTAAGTTCCCCTTATCCAAATCTGATCGACCATCCATGGGATGTGTCGGTATCCCAGAGCCAAGTTTGATCCTCTCTGGGGCCTCCTTGGATCGGACTTGGCTCTGACCTGTCGAGGCATGGACACAAGACCTCTGGGGGGTTTTCTGTAGTGTCTGGCTTTGAGGCGTTGGCGGAAGATCCTTGGAGTCTTGTGGGTTGCGAGGTAAGGTACCGGTATATGTCCCACAAATGTTTGATAGGATTGGGACCTGGGGAATTTGGAGGTCAGTTTGACAGCTCGAGCACTTGTTCTTTAGACCATTGCTGTACAGTTTTTGTGGGGTGGCAGGTTCATTGTCCTGGCCATCAGGAAGTGCCAGTGCAATGAGGAGGGGGGGTGGTAATTGGTCTGCAAGGGTGTTTGGGTGGGTGGTGTGTGTCAGGTGGCATACACATGAATGCCAGGATCCAAGGTTTCCCAGCCAGACATTGCATTAAAACAAGACGATACGTCACCTGTCAGTGGTTTGAATGTTGTGGCTGAGTGGTGTATACATTCAAGCATGTTTATATCTCCCTTAAAAAGTAACACCACCTAAATTAAGAATTCCAATATATTATTTCCATGGCTGAGAGAAGAAGAGAAGAAGATAAGAACATGACCTATGCTCTCTCAATGCCAGAAACCGGAGTAGAATGTCTTTAACTTGTGATGTCATCAGCAATAAAGTCTGAGGCTGCTCTCCATAATGAACAGGAGCCTGATATAGTGGACCCACAGACTGTTTTTCCTTTTCTTTCCACCCACAATGAGCTTTACTCTACTGTAGCTCTAAAACAGGAAATACCCATATACTTAAAACATTCCTCTGGGCGCGCTCAGCATCATCCATGACATATTGCCCAATTCATCGTCTACGGAGCAGCTCCAGACTTTTTACTTACTAACATCACAAAGTTGAGTTTTAGCTCTCTAGTTTTTGGAATTTGGAGAGAGTTGTTCATGTTTTCTAATATTTTTGGACAACATGAGACCACAGGAAGTAAATGTATGAATTTGAAGCTGGGTGTAGTTCCCTTTAATCACTCTGAAATGAATGTAATGTGTAAATGCACTATTAATATTTATTAGTGTCCTTTTCGAGACACAAACTTTACAGTGCCAAACCTTGCTTGAAATTGCTTGAACTGCTGACCAGACTGACAAAGACACCATGTATAAAGAGACAATAAAGTTTGTGAGGCGACATGTTTGTGATGGATTGTTTCCTCTCAGACTCTTTCACCTCTTCCTCTGAGTGTCAGGTGATTGACTGTAAGTGGAGTGTGAAATAACGTGCACACGCCTAAGAAAACATTCAACTCAGGCATAATGAAGTAACAATGAAACCAGCACTTTGACAAAACTAAATGAAGGCTTCAGGTTTACGGTGATGGATTAGCCCGGTGTGCTGAGGCTGTTTATCGTCTTGAATGAGAATGGATGACTGCAAATGGTTCCTCTCAAGGGAGGAAAATGAGTTGTTAATGTAAAGGAGGGCAATGTACACTATTAATATACAGTACAGTGCTGGCCTAATGCAGCCTTATTCATTTAACCCTGACAACCAATAAAAATCTTTCAACCAGAACACTGCCCAATGGCCAATGCTAATATTTTAATGTCAGCGCCCTTTCTCATATACATAGCTATACACACATGCTGGTACACATTTCACATTGGCCTAATCTGCTGCTATAAGTCATCATGCTCTCGTTACTTAGCATTAGTCACTGACAAACATACAAAGTCAGCAAGCAACTGCTGAATAAGGCAATACAAATTTATCAGTTTACCTTAACCTCTTTGTTACCTGAGCAGATTGGTTTGGTTTCGTTCAAAAACAAGGGAACAATGGGGACAGTGAGCAATGAAAGAAAAAATGACCCAAAAAATTAGCAAGAAACTAGTAATAAAAGAAAATTAGAAACAAATTAAATCAATTTTCTCAGGGTACAAGGGTTTGAATACTTGCAAAAGGCGTCTGAAAGTAGCACAAGAAAAGTGACGTTGCTCAAGATTTCAAAGGGTTAAAGAACTACTTTAAACTTAACCACCAGCTGAAGACCACATCATCACCACCACTAAAACAACAAGATGACAAAAAGCAGAAAATGTCTCCAAACCTTTTGCCAAGATGGCGTCATGTCCAGTGACCACATCCCGATAACTCACTATTAAAGTTCCCCCTTCAATTTTTGACTTCTTACAAAAATTCTCCATGAATAACTATATAATACATATATACAGTTAATTATTGTAATTTCAATATAGTGAAAGTAACACTTAATGGTAACATTGAATATGTGATTGTAGTATATGTATTTAAGGCCTGAACCCAAGTTGCAAATGTCAACTCCACCAAACCTTGTTGGATTTGAGATGGCTTGCAGAACTTAGATTTAGAGTAAAAATACTTGAACAAAATTACGTAGCAAACTATCATGTTGAAACATTTCAGTCTGGAGCAAAGTGGTGGACCGGCTGACATTACTATCCATAGAATATGCCATTAGTGTAATGTACATTTTTGGTGCTTTTGTGCTTTGTATTGTAAGAGTGGTTCTTGTCCTTACTACCTCCACCAAGGAGCTTATGTTTCCAGTGGGTTTGTTTGTCTGTTTGCAAGCAGGATGACCGAAAAACTGCTTGTCTGATTTTTATGAAACTTAGTGGAAGAATGTACCATGGGCCAAGGAAGAACCTATTGAATTTTGGAGTGGATACACATCACAGGGCAGATACAGAAGTCATTTTTCACTTTCGCTAACATGGCCAGACAGGGCCTTTAGGCTTTTCTTGCTAATTTTTTGGTTGGCTCATTGTCTTCTTCCCTTGTTTTTGAATGAAACCAAGCCAATGGGATGGTCTGCACCATCCAATTGTGCTTCTAGTTCCAATATAGATTAGGTTTGTTCACTGCCTATGCGGGATTGCAAGGGAAGAGCTGACACTTCAGTTTAAGGTCATTCATCGCTTGCATTTCTCCAAGGCCAAATTAAACAGAATATTACCCTCTTTGTCTCCTACATGTGACAGGTGTAAATCAGGTGTAGGGAACTTAGGAACTTAGTCTTGCCCAAAACTCAGGAATTTCTGGGCAGCCACATCTCAATTATATAGTAACATATATAGCATACAGTTAGTCCCTGATTTTCTCACTGTGATACAAGGCTTTTCTGATTACTCTTTGACTCTTTTCCCTGCGTTACACGCAAGCTCTTATGTTTGGTATAGTCATAGCAAGAAGGGTTATTTTGCAAGAATGGAGATCAGCCTCCCCTCCTTGCTTAACTAAATGGCTAAATTACATGGTTTCTTGTCTACATCTTGAAGAAATCAGGGACACTTTGTCTAACTCCCTCATCAAGTTTTTAAAATCTGGGGACCCTTTATCGAACATATTAAAAAGGTGAGGAGTCAAGCTGACTAATCACATTGGACTGCCTCTTTGCATTGGACTGTGCACTATACTTCGATACGCCAGAACACTAGATCTCTGTTGGCCCTTCCCTGACCACCCATGGCCTTTACTCCATGGATGCTATCTTTCTGCCTCAACCGTCCGGTTGACATAATACGAACTGGCGTATAATTGTACTGTTGAAGTGTTACTTGATACTGAATATTAGTTTAGTAGCATGCCACAACACCTTTGAATACATATTCTGTTAAACTCAAGAGCTTTGTTTTTCTGTTTCAGACACAAAAGCATACGTCAGATGTTCAGAGCCTTTATTCTGAAGAAAGTCCAAACAACACGCCCGTGAATGCAACAGCAGACTAAAACAGCTGATCTGAGGGGACTTGTTCCACATTAAGATCAAACCAGCATTCGGCAATGGTGAGTACATACAGCTTCTCCTTTTGCGGTAAAATTAGGTTCAACTGTTCGTAAGAATTCAGTTTCGGATACTGTGCTCCAACACACACACACACACACACACATATAAATGAGCTCTCCTGCTCTCAGACGAGCACACACAGTCCAATGTCATGCAGTAGCTCTGCTCCTGAGAGCTCAGAGGTGCTGTGGGCTTGTTTAGTGCTGAATCCAGACATCAGCATTCAGCTTTGTGTGGCACCAACTGTCCCTGAGCTCGAAAACTCCCACATAAGGGCACATACACACACAAAACACACGCAAGCAGACATACAATACACTCACATGCTCCCCCTCTCACACACACTCAGAATTTGTAATTATCCCTCTCTGGTGGATGCTTTATTTCCCCTCTCTTCCTTTGTCTTTTTCACCTCTGTCTCCTCTCAATCTCCCACTGAATCCGCCGGTGTCTATTTAAGGGGGATGCCCCATGCACACAGACCTCCACACACACTCTCTTCTCTCTCTTTGTTTGTCTCTCTCTCACTTGAAGTTGCAGCTTCCAACCAACTTTGATGACTTCACATTAATTAGCTCAGTTGTTTGTTCTCCAGCCCGTGTGCTAGTTAGCAAAGTGGTGTCTGCTGATATTTGATAAGTGAGAGTTCATTGCATTTTCTCACGGCCCACTCACTGACATTTTGGGTGAACTTGTCTGACACTCACAAATACGCACACACACACAAACACACACATTCCTGTACAGGCATTAAAGTGAGGACCGGGACAGTTCCCATTGAAAGTGAGGACCACCCTTTCTGCTATACTTAGAGACAAACTGATTTTACATTTCAACACTAGGTGGCCCCCTAACTCCAGTTTCCACCTCAGATTTTTAAAACATACAAAGGAAAAATACCTTGTGAAAAAGTTTTGTACCATCTTAGTGAGGACTTTTTCATGGGGGCGCTGTTGGGCCCATTTCTGGTCAGACCATTTCTGTTTATAGCTTGTAGGCCTTTTTTGCTCCCTTTTGTATTTTACTGTTGACAAATACTGTAATAATATATGTTAATAAAACTACATTCAATGCTTACTGGTGACTGAACATCACAGCAACACATTTTCTCTTAGAAAGTCTTTTAATTATTTGAAAAACAAATAACATCATCCCTGCATAAAGATAAAGATACTAAAGTGAGGCCATCAGAGCCCTTAGGTGAGGTCAAAGTCCACAGGTGAGGTCATCAGAGCCCTCAGGTGAGGTCANCCAAAATGGTCCTCACTCGAAAGGTTAGCTACCCGTGATGGTCCTCACAAAGATAGCAGTACAAACACACACGCACACACACACACACACACACACACACACACACGTTTGTATGCCAGTGCTTGTGAGGACCATTGCTGACACAGTGCATGTCAGGTCAGACAGTGACACAGTGAAATTAATTTGCACGCCTCTGCAAAATAGGTGGTGCTGGATGATTAGCAATGGTGTGAGTAGCTGTCAGAGTGGAAGCATGGGTCATCAAAACATCTTTAACACAAGATCACTCTTTGCTTCCTGTTCACTGCTGACAATCAACGTCGGTTTCTTTTAACCATGACCACAGCCATTCTCTAACCTTAACCTTGAGTGTTTCCATTTGTCACCATGGCAACAAAGGTCCCCTAACTTTAGAGGTATACTATGCATGAATTGTATGCTACTGTTTGTCCTCTTGAATGCGTGCTCCTATTGTTTCCTCTTTATAAAGTCCCGACCTCGCCTTCACACTGTTATCAGCTGGGGGCTACACGCTTACCAACATCCTTACCACAGCTAAATAACATGACAATAAGACAACACAGGCAGGAGGCAGAGTCTCTGCAGATAAATACTCCGCCACACACTTCTAAAGACTCATAAGAGATGATTGAGAGGGTTTACCTTTGCATGATTGTATACATGCATAGTATGCCTTTAACAAAATAGTAGTTTTAACCCAAACCATGTTCTTTCTTTAACCCCAACCAAGAACTCATGAGATCAGAAAATGCTTGTTTCTGGCCTAGAGGGCATAGACCAACATATTTTGTAAAGATTTTGTCATTTGTTTTGGAGAACTTGTTTACTTTGCCTACTTTGTTTGAATCCACTGATTGTAGTGGTTCCATTGCAGTGACGTGCTTTTGGTTTGCTGATATATCCTAGTGTTATGAGGCTTATCTCATGCTAACCCACAACCTTAACATCTACATGTCTCCATGTGCTGTAGTTGTGAAGGGTTAAGCAAGTTAGGTTAAGCCTCACCAACAAAATCGTAAAGACTTCAGCTCTTTCTCACTTTGCCAAACATTTCAGTTTTTATTAGAGACTGCATTATCTATGCAATGATAGCAAGTAGTTTGAGTCTGAAATTAGCACCCGCCAGCTGCCAAATGGGGGTAAATTGTTGGCAGTGTCTGGTAAAATCAACAGGCCATCGATCACTTTAGGGGACAGAGAAAACACACAACAGAAAGACACGTTTAGTAAGGTTAGCAGATGATCGGATAGAGCAGGGGTGTCAAACTCATTTTAGTTCAGGGGCAACATACAGACCTGTAAGGTCATCAACCACCTCGTATTATCTATCTATCTATCTATCTATCTATCTAAAATTTGATGCTGCTTGATTTGCAGGGTGAGTGTTTGTATTAATACAAAGTCACTGTCTGATAAAGTGTCTGTTCAGAACATGGTGGCTTATGTTGGTAATTGTCTTTTTTGTGTGCTGGTGTATAGTTTCAACCATTCGTGAGGTGGCTTTTACATTTCTTGAGACCAGCTGTATTTTCCTTCATAGTTGAGAAAGTACGCAGTGTTGCTACTTGTAATGAGCAACTATTGCAACAAGTACCAAATAAAGGTCTATGAGTATAATATAGTAGTGTAGAGATGGCTGATGAAATTGATGGACAGCAATATCATAGCGCGATCATCTCTTAAGTACAGTCATCGGAATGGCTGGATGAGATTCTCTGGTGGGCTGATTGTGGCCTGCAGGCCATATGTTTGACACCACTGAGATAGAGGTACACGTTTGAAAGTTGCTCACAGCTGCTACATAAAAGCAATGCTATTGACTGGAGAACTTCATTTGTTTAACTGACAGTCAAAGTTTACCAAATTCTCACCATTAATCTTCAATCAAAGTAGCACACAAATTGATACATACTGACTTGTTACTGTATTGACTTCACTGGCTACCTCACATATCAAACTCATCTGGAGGAATAGCTCAGTGCATAGCAAGTGTACAGTCAAGGAAGATGTTGTTCCTTCTATTAGCACATAGATTAGAATGTGGCAGATAAAATTCGAAGTGGTAGACAAAAAAATTGCCTGCCACAGTAGCAGGCAGTGAAAAAAAAAAAATTCAGAGCTAGCAACTTCTGCTTTCCAAAACGGTTTTGGAGGCCCATGTTTTAAAATTAGGGATGCACAATGTTGGATTTTTTTGCCTATATCCAATATGCCGATATGTAACAACTTATTTGACAGATAACTGATACCGATATCAATATATCCACTGTAGTGGAATTAACATCATATTATTCTCTTATTGTGATGGCCAGTAAGCAGATGGAGACATTAAACAGAATGTTTATCAGTGTATGTAATTATTCATTGTGCAAAATAAGAAGAACCATGTTGGAACTAACCCGTCTGGGTTGGTAGAGAGTTACTGCCTCAAGCGAGGAACTTCAAGTATCTGGGGGTCTTGTTCATGAGCATGAATTGGATCAGTAGTTTGGTGCGGCTTCTGCAGTGATGCAGGTGCTGCACCAGACTGTCATGGTGAAGAGGGAGCTGAGCCAGAAGGTGAAGCTTTTAATTTACTGGTCCATCTATGTCCAGACCCTCACCTATGGTCATGAGCAATGGGTAGTGACCAAAAGAGTGAGGCAGCAGATACAAGCTTGGAGATCCAGAGGGAGCTCAGAGTAGAGCCGCTGCTTCTTCGCATCAAAAGGAGTTAGTTTAGGTGGTTTGGGCATCTGATCAGGATGCCTTCTGGGCGCCTCCCATTGGAGGTGTTCCGGGCATGTCCCACTGGTAGGAGGCCCTGGGGCAGACCCAGAAGACGCTGGAAGGATGACATAACTCATCTGGCCTGGGAACTCCTTGGGGCTCCTGAGGGGGAGCTGGAGAGTGTTGCTAGGGAAAGGGACGTCAGGGGCGCTTTGCTTGGCCTGTTGTCCCCACAACCCGGCTTCAGATAAGCAGTCAAAAATAGATGGATGGATAGATGTTGGCCGATACTAATAGTTCATTTTAAACCCGATATTGGAAGATACCAATGACGTGCCGATATTGTTGTGCATCCCTAGTTACAATACATTCTTATATACTGCTGCAGTGCTCTAGTTTGTTGTTCCTGGTTCCTGGATGCCACAGCAAACTGTGGAGGGTTTTAAAGCCTTGAAAAAGAAATGATCAAGTCTTGACTGTTTTTTAAACGATCTTGCTGGACTTGAAGACCTGTAACTTACTGTTTTATTGAAGCTTTTAGCTCTATTGTGTATTTTAATCCTCTGCAATCTCAATTGTATGTCAAGACTGGCCTTTTATAGTCTTGTTTTGTCACATAACTCTATTTTTCTGCCTAACCCCATTACCTAAAACCTCATAACGCTAACCCAAAAGCCTAGTTTTAAGCATGTCTCAAACAGCCCTGTGAAGAAGTTAGACTGGCTAAAAGTGCCCTAATTCTCAAGGTCTAACACCCTATGTAAATTAGTCCTCAAAAAAGGTACAAGTACATTCGAACACAAACACATCCATCCTCAGACATGTTTTTGGTGTGTCGTTTAAGCCAGTCAGGGTTTCAAATGGTATTCTGGGAATTCTCTCTTACTCTCTCGCTCTCTAGCTCTCACGTGATGATGAGACATGATGTACTGAGTCCATCTGGCTGTGATGACTCTGCCCTTGTATTGATTCAAAATACACGCACACACATGTTCTCTCTCAGGGAGGTGGAGAGAAA